GCACAAGGCTTGGAAACGACATGGACGGTTACCATGGAAACAACTTGTTCAACCCGCCATTAATTTGGCCAGAAAGGGATTTAAAGTAACTCAAGCTGTGGAAGATGCACTGAAAACGACAAAAGGAATCAAAGATGATATTGAAAACGACCCGGGATTGAGGTGAGACTAATTCAGAACTTGACTCCAATGCAAATCACACGCTCGATCGTTTATATTTTTATATTCAGATAACGAAAAAACCTGTTAGGCGCATTGCAACCGCGCTTACAGGTGTCATTACTTATCGCCCGAAGAGGGGAGGGGTGGGGAAAGGATATTTTGGGGGGATCACATGGATTTCAGGGTGGGCAGAGGGGATCAGCCATCACAAACAGAGAACTGCATAAAGGAAGGACTACAATCAACTACCAATGAGGGGAAGGGAAGCTTCGGAGCAAGGATTTAAAACGCCTGGGGTTCGATTTTCGAGGGGAACTCAGTTTTATTTTTTTCTCCAACGGCCCTGACAATACTAATAACATTTCACTTCAATATTTCAGTGAGCTGCTCCTTACTAAAAACAAAAAGCTGGTTAAAAAAGGCGATGTTATTAAGAACGTACAGTACGCAGAGACTTTGGAAACAGTGCGTGACAATCCTGACTCCTTTTACAATGGAACACTCGCTAGTGAAATATTGCGTGACATTAAGAGAGTCAATGGGAGCGTGACTGAAGAGGATTTAAGGAGTTATAGGTGGATTTTAAGAGACCCATACCAGAGTAACATCCGGGACATGAAAATGTACCTGACCCCACCACCCACGAGTGGCGCTGTGCTGGCACTGATCTTAAACATTTTAAGAGGTAGGAGTTGTTGACAAAACGATTGTTCAACTTTCTTTTAAAGAAGACTCTCCAAAAGTAAACGGAAAGTTCCCCTTCAAAGTATGTTGTTAAATCTTCAATTTACTGCCTATATTTATCGCCTTTTGGATGAATTGAATTACACGCCATCACCTGGCAAGTGCCCCAAGGCTGTCAGAAACGAGCAAGTGCGACCTTAGCTTTGCTGGAGCTAAATGAGGATAAAATAAATACAATTACATTAAAAGCAGGTTTGGTTGACCTATTATCTTACAACAACTTGTTTTAATGTCAAGCTAAACAGGGTAATATTTAACTCGAAAAATTATTAGAACCAGCCTATTTTTATGGAATGTTTCCACCGTAGGGTATAACATGACATCGTCAGCTCGCGATGACGTGAACGCCACCGTGCTGACGTATCATCGAATCATTGAATCCTTCAAGTTCAGTTATGCGTGGCGCAGTCGGCTTGGAGATCCCAAGTTTGACCAGACGATATCAAAGGTAGATGGCATTTAACAGGTGGTTCAAATGTGAACTCTTTCATAATTTCTTTCGAAGTGGCTGTTTGGTTAGCGTTTAACAAACAAGAACAAAAGTATCAAGCCCGTAACAGATGGCTACCAAAATTAATGGTGCTTAACACTATGCTGGAGAGCAATGATCCGCCTTATACATCCAATACAATGCAATTTTTAAACTTAAAGCCCTTATATTTGAATATCTCAATGCACAATTTACTCTCAGACAAGATGTTAGTCTCGCTTTATGATCGCTAGTTGCAAAGGGCATATAAGGATGACTATGTAGGCTATGCAATCAAAACGAAATTGAATCACAAGAGGCCAAATGTGAACGTATGCTAAATACGAATAGACGGCCTGCCTAAAACTCCGTTGATCAAATCGAATTCCATTCATTCCGAAGACCAAAGGCCTTCAGCTCTCGCATACGATTGACCAGCAGGTGGCACAAGAGTTTTGATACGATTTTCGAACAAATCCAAGATTGGAGAAAGCAAACGGAAGCAGTTAAAAGGGGGATAAAGTAATTGAAGGCAAATTTGATTTTTAGCATTATATATATATATATATATATATATACTTTGTTTATCATTAGCAAGCACAAGTTTTCTCGACGCGATTTTCGAACCACCTTTGGACTGATTTATAGCAAACGGAACATTGACCCTACATCAAACCTTTTAACCGTTTGACCTCTAAGAGTGACCCTTGAATCAAACAATAAGGTCATGAGAATAAAGGAAATGATCACCGATCAAAGAAGATTTTTATTCTTAAACAAATTCTTCCTGTCAGCACTTTAAGAATTGTATAGAGAACAGTATGGAGAATATGCATACTGATGTTAGGGTGTAGAGGGTTCAAGGATCAGGTAATACGTTGCAGTTTTACTTTTATCTTCAAAGACAGCAAAAAAAATGTTAGAACCAGAACTTGGTGATGTCCTTCGTCACAAAATATGGGATAACAAGACTTACACGAATGTATCGTATTACGCGGATTCCTTTTCGAACGCTGATTACGGTACGACACACGTGGCTGTACTGGACCAAAATGGAGACGCAGTTTCTGTGACATCCACTATAAACATGAGGTGAGTTGACCTAAAAAGTTCAGTTGGAATTACGGGTTGTACCCGTCGAACTTGAATTCACCGTAACGGAGGGCCTGGGAAAGGTAGCTTCTCACCGTTCCTTCTTCGACCACAAGAACCACAGGAAGCAGCCGTACAGTTGTTAATATGGAGTTTTTCGTTATCATGGTTTGGCGGCAGGGAAAATTAAGTAGAGCCTGTCACGGTTTTCGTAAGAAGATGACCACTTGCACGGTAGCTCATAGGAAACAAAGCAAAACCTATCATGTCATTGCTCAGCTTCACTGATATGTAATTCTCTAACAGCAATGACGTTGCTTAGTTTTGTTTTTTTTTGTTTTTTCAAACAGGTTTGGCGCTAAATATCGATCCACTACCACAGGCATCATTTACAACAATGAGATGGCAGATTTTGATATTCCTGATTACGAAGTAGTGGGTGATATTTCTCCATCCCCATTCAATTTTCCTGAGCCAGGCAAGCGACCGTTCTCCTCCATGTGTCCCACCATTTTAACCGATAACGACGGAAAAGTTCGGTTTGTTATCGGTGCCTCTGGCGGGAAAAGGATAACCACAGCTGTATCACTGGTACGTCCAATCCTATGTTTGTACGTTCTTTGAATCTTACGATATGACTAATATAGCTAATAAGCACTTTAAGTAATTCAAGGTGGGTACTCCACCCAACTTAATTTCGAGGGAGATCAAGATAACAGAGAAACAAAAGGACAGGCACCTTACATATCTTTCTTATGCACCAGCAAATCCAATAGTAAAGTTGTTCTATTGGTATGGATTTTCCAGCTAAAGAAATGGACGCGGCCTGGAACGGTAAATCCGTTTATGATTATAGGTGCTGACGGGTTCCATTCACACGTAAACGAGGATTAAATGAGTTCGTTCATAAACTGTATCTGTTCACCCGATGGACACTTGACTTCAACTAAACGAACTCCCACTCAGATTACTACAACGTTCTACTGAAATTCCACCATCCGTATGAGTACGAATTACCTCTATAAACGGCTTTGTCGACCTTGTTTATGACAACAATTCTCAAATCTTGGACGCTTCTCGAATGAATGTACAATGTAATATACGACATATTGAACGAAATTAGAGTTACAAAACAACATAAATTTCGTGAAGGCAAACGATAATGTCACTTATCCAACAAATAAAAAAAAAATAATATTTGCATTCACTAAAAGCCAACGGATACCAATTCACATGATGTTATACAGAGTGTTATTTCCGGGCGGGTGTAAATTTACTCACAGTTGCGAAAAGGTCATGAAGCCAACAAAACTTTCAGAAAGGAAGGGAGGATCGTTTTGAGGACTCTTTCACTATACTAAATTACAATGTACTCATTGGATAATACTCTAAATTTGCCAAACAAAGTACCTGCTTAATTCTGGCCCGTGCAAGTATTTAAGAAATCGCACGCGCACGCGAGCTAATTATTTAATAAAATTGCTTTCATTAAGACTAAGACTAAGGAAATGAAGACACCGATGTTGGTTGGACGTTACCCGACAAGGAAATAGCATGAGCCAGTTTTGCTTCGCTGATATATTTGAACTCATGTTTTTAGATTTAAAGCTTTGAAAAAATGTAACTTAACGACAAACTAAAATTGGAAGAGTTCGCCAATGAAATTGGTGCGCAGACGAAGCGAGTACAAGTGGCTTTTTGCTCACTCACGTCGGCACTTGTTTCAGTGACAACTACTATTGACTATGTAATAATTAAGTACTTACAATTCCGACCATTTCTTTCGTAGCCATTAGCATGCTGTCGAACGTCATGATTGCAGGCACTCATGCGTCCTCAGAAATGTCAAAAGATCTACAGATACGTAGTGTAACGCTTATAAACGAGGACGAGTAATAGGGTTCACACATATTCGTTTTTAGAAACCACTATGATTTAGCATGGCTTTGGTAAAGACAAAGACTTACCCAGAACTTAGCGTTGAAACAGATTAATTATCGGTGTTTTACTTTAGCCCCCTTAGGGTTCAGTCATTATTTATTGGTCCACGCAGAGACGAACTCAGCTTCTTTTGAAAACCTATCAGCGTGGATCAGAGCGTTAAGTTAGTAATCTCTTCCCCAAAGCGGATATAAGCCAGCTCTTCTTTGCTACTACTGTACGCATGTAGTACTAATGCAAATATATACTCTTGCATCTGCAGATCTTAATGAACAAACTCTGGTTTGGAGATGACTTGTCTAAAGCAGTAGACGAACCACGACTGCACTCACAACTGGTGCCTGATCAAACAGTATTTTATGAAAAACATAAGCCCTACCGCGTTCAAGAGAGCGTAATTGAAGGCTTAAGAGAACGAGGTCACATCGTCAACGGAAGTGATTTGTTCGCCGTGGTGCAGGCGATTTATAAGGAACCAGGAGCAAGAATATTCGCCAAGGCTGACCCGAGAAAGCATGGTGCGCCCGCGGGTGAATAGAAATTTTGTTCTGAGACACTCGTCAGTTTTGTTGACTAACCTTGACTCGTTCGGCTTTAAAACGCCATATTTCTTGGTAACGCATATTCTTCAGGTGTTCTCATAACACAGTCATTCTTAATGCGAAAAAGCAAAAAAGCATAACCACTTAGGTTAGTATTCTACAAGAAAAGAATCCCAAAGTGTATAACTTAGATTAATTTTAAAAGTAATAATATAAGACTCAAACAAAACTACATGGGGTAGACTTTTAATCATGTCGATATTCTATTCAGCATTCTGGATATACATGCATTATTTGATTTATGTAGTTCACTTTGTTTGAGAAAGTGTATAACTTATGAAAAATTATTCAACTTATTTCCAGTCATTGCTATTTTAAACCTAGAAAGCACCAAACTAATAAGCTAAATTGATCTGATCGAGTTCGCAAACCTTTAACGGAAATAATTCCATGCAAAGGAAAACTGAACCTACTTTTTTAGAACTGCTTGATAGTCTGAAGGTAACTGCAGCCATATTTTCAACCACCTTTACTCAAATATCGGAATACGATGTCTAAACCAATCAGTCACAACTATGCTGTAAATGTTGGCTCGTTCAACTTTCTTGTCCTACTCCCTTTTTGTCACAAACCTACCACTCAGTTCAAATACCTGACCTGTCAGACAATTAGATGTCCTGCTTTGTTAACTGACAAAGGGCGGGGAAGTTAAACTCCAGGTCCCTCTTCCCCTTCTCTTCAAATTTATAAAAAAGATCACCTTTCCTTTCAAATACTTGATACAATGTTTATCACAGTCTGACACTAAGAAAAATTCGTCACATTTTACGCAGTGAACAGGAGTGCTGAAAAACTCACCAAGTTAATATAAAATTTGCCATCATATCTTCAGCAAACTTTTAGATGTTTCATTTCTCTGCAACAGCTCGCGCTTCAATATAATTACACTTTCTTTCGTTTTCCTCCGCTCAATTATTTTCCTTTTGCGAATCGATCACAGACTTGACTTGTAACTTGCGTTAACTTGCTGCTTCCTCTAGAAGTATCTTAGCGTGACCATCATGGATGGATGCAACACAAAACACAAATGGCAACGTCACAGTTCTCGCAAAAGAACTTGAGTCTTTCTTTTTCGTGATGCTTCTGTTGGCAAAATATTGGCCGCTCTGAGAAGTCTTCCATGTCTTGATCTTCAAAATCTTTTAGAGCCAGAATTCGGCGCTCCATAATCGCTTTGATTATGTTATGCGTGGTGATACACACGTCACACCAGAACGCACAGCACTAAAAACAGCACGAACTGTGTCTGCTTCTTTTGTCGCAGTTACAAATTTCACTCCAGCAGTCTAGCATTCTTTAATGGCCAGCACAACTGGCAAACTGCTGATACCAAAGTTTGTGGACAAATCCTTTTAGCTTTGCACAGCTAGGGACTCCAATTTCTCTTCGACATTCAGGACAACTGAATAAAGACATCATGGCGGCTACCCGTTTGTAAGATCCCGTTCAAGTAGTGAAGACAGAAACTGTGCAAACATGGTAGCTGTTTTGGTTCAGCAAATATGTTCCTACACACAGAACAGGATACTTCGTCGTGAAGGTTGTCAAACAAGGTTTTTATATCATAGTTGAGTACTATAAACGGAAGAAAAGAGTTTGAGTTGAAATAAGCCTCAGTAAAAAGCTTGACCTCTATCTACTGCAAATCAAGTCAGTGACTGTGAAACTCAGACACGGCATATATACTCTCCCTGAAGAATCCAAACATTTTATCGAAATCTTTAATATCATTTTCTATCGGAGTAAATAAGTCAAGAAAGTCAATGCAAGTCAGAAAGCTAAACAAAGCTCGCATCTTTTACCTGACCTGTTGTAAAATATTTTAATATCGCCACTCAATCGAGGTAAATTGAGAACGAGAGAGATTGAGTACATATCCCTAGGGGTAGGGGCACGGGTTTGTATGGTTAAAGTTTCAGGAATATCCGTAAGAATCGAGCACGAGTTTTGTACTTACTCGCAACGCCAACGCGCGGTTTTCGTTGCAAAATGGAAGCTACGATAAGCGACGGACGGTAAGTATAAAGTTTATCTCAGTATTCTGTAAAGCAATGTTCAGTGTGCAGTTTCTGTTGTAAAGAACTTACATACCAAGACTCAAGTTTGGAAACTTCTGAAAGACATGACACGACAATTGTTTCACATTCTGCGAAATGTTCCAATCTTTTTACCTCAAATATGCAGCCTGTGATGACACGGAATACCACGAAAGATAAATGCAATATTCTACAACCTGAATGTGTCACGAAATTTAAGTATCTGCTACATGAGTAGTCCATAAAGTTTTCTAACTCGATCGGTTTTCAGCTAAATCGCGTGATACCACGTGGTTTTCCTAGAAAACTTCAATCCTTGCGACATATTTTTCATGTTCCTTCATATCGCTTTGATAATTTCGATTGTATCTGCTGTTAGCAGAGATCATTCAAAGTAACTGGGTCTAAACTGCTTGCCACGACAACTCGCAAATAAAATTAACCAGAACGTTTTTTTAATAGCAACTAAAATATGCATTTATATCACTTGATAAAGATATCTTTTATCTAACATGTAGCTGAGTAGCATTTTCTCTCTTCATCATTTGAAAATGTATTGTGACTTTTGTTTCCAACACATATATCGGAAAATATCACTGTGAGAAATTCCGAACTTTTTAAGAAATGTGTTCAAATCTAAGCTATTATGTGAATTAAATTGTGCGTACCTTGACCCTGGGAAGAAAATTAGATGCATATTCAAAATTTAATTTCAAAAGAAATTAACTGTCGTGGAAACCGTCGTTTCGGTTGCGTGACAAAAATTACAAATGTGACGTATTCATTAAGGGACTTTCTTCCATCCGAAAAAAACACCTGGCTTGTTTGTTTATCTTCAACTTCAACTTCAACTTCATGTATTTATTTAAAGAAATATAAGGTTTACAAAACTTCATGTCCTGCAAATAGCTACAATGCTAATCTAGGCAGGACAAGACTTTAACTAAAGGCGTTATTAAATTACATAAGAAAAAAGAAAAGAAGAAATACAAAAACATACAGAAAGAAACACCTTACATATAAATTCAAGTACAAGGGATTTTGTTATTTGAAAAAGACTAAAATTACAACTAGAGGTATATACAATATATCAGGTTAACTTCACAAAATATTCTATTAAAAAATTAACATTCAAATAATTATCTTCATTACCTAGAACATTAAGGAGTAGTGATTTAATTTTTTTACGAAAATTAGAAATGTTGAGAGTCTTAAAAGAAAGTGGAATAGAATTCCAAATAGACACACCGATTCTAGTAAAAGATTTTTTCATTTTTTCAGTTCTAGAGAATTTGACAGAGAAGCATTCTTGCAGATAATCGCGTATTATAATAATGTTCTGTATTGATTTTCGCAAACTTATCGAGAAGACTTTTAGGAGCTGTCTTAGCATGAACGTCATACATTAAATAGCTTAACTGTTGAAAGAACAAAGACTGCAAAGGAAGGCAGTTTGATTCAATAAAAAAAGGGATTGCATGGTCTCTGGGTTTAGAAAAATAAATCAAACGCAGAGCACGTTTTTGCAGAACAAGTATCTTATTGAGGTAGGTCTGTGGACAGTTGCCCCATGCACAGATACCATAATTTAAATAAGGAGAAATAAGTGCATGATATAAATTCAAAAGAAGACGCCGTGGAATGTAATGCCTCATTTTAGCAATTATTCCAACCGATCTACTAATTTTGTGACAGATAAAGTCAATATGATGCTTCCATGATAGTTCAGAATCAATCATTACACCCAAATATTTAACAAAGTCCTTCATCTCTAGAGTTACTCTAGTATTTAAAGTTGGATTAAAAATCTTAATTTGAGGAATGAAAGGCATTCTTTTTTGGTGGGGACTAAAAATGACATAATTAGACTTTTTGACGTTGAGCGTTAGTTTGTTAGCATTAAGCCATTCGCTTACTTTCTCAAGTTCATTATTGACAGTTAGTTCAAGAGTACGTAAGTTGTCATTTTCATAAGTTAGACTTGTATCGTCTGCGAAAAGATAAAGAGTAAATTCCTTGGAGTCATCATCATGAGGAGGTCTATGATAAACGAATGTCTTGTGGTAAACGCCACTCGTGCGCCACAACTGGACGCTAATTATGAGGACGTATTGTTATGATATACTTTACGTCCTTCCAACACTTCCCTTTTATGAGGTAAACGCCATCATTTAGTTTTTATACGACCTAACCTTAAGTCAATACTTTAATACGAGTCTTCTCCTTTTAGGAAGATCATAATAATTGTGGTTGTGGGCGTGACCACACTTTTGACGACGGGAGGCAGTCTCCTTGGTAATTACTTAAATGAAGATTCCCCCGACCAATTACCTGACAAATCATCTGGCGGACCCTATGAAAGTAGAGTGGTTGCCACAGATACACCGGATTGCTCCAAAATCGGAACCGACACCCTAAAAGTTAACGGTTTAGCAGTGGATGCTGCCATCGCCGCCATGTTCTGTCTGGGTGTGGTCAGCATGCACTCATCAGGGATAGGAGGTGGGGGAGTGATGTTGGTGTACGATCAAATATCAAAGAAAGCCACAGTCATCGACTTTAGGGAAACTGCCCCAGCCACAGCTCACAAGAACATGTTTAAAGGCAACGAACTTAAAGCCAAGAAAGGTCAGTCAATTCTTTCCGTTGATCGTAGCGCTTTTTAAATTCGTTGTTGTTTTTCTAAAACCAAGATTGTGTCGATTGCTCACTTGATTTTACTAACCTCATCGATGTTATTCATTTTTTTGCTTAGTGTAATATTAATCAGTTCTGATATATCAGTTTACATGTCATAATATCCAATCCACCGTTAAACCTCTCCTAAACAGACCTTAGTTCAAGTGTTTTTACGATTCATCGAGTAATCTTTAAAAAGAGAAAAAAATCAGATAAACTCACCCACCAGATCGTTTTATCATTTAAGGTGGTCTGTCTATCGCTGTTCCCGGTGAGGTGCACGGTCTATACGAGGCTTGGAAAATATATGGTCGGTTACCATGGAAACGCCTGGTTCAACCTGCCATTGATTTGGCCAAAGATGGATTTATTGTAACTCAAGCTGTGAAAGAAGCTGTGCGTGAGAATAAAGAAGATATTAAAAACGACCCAGGATTAAGGTAAGAGTAATTCATTGCCTGACTCTTTCGTAAATCACGCGCTCTATCGCTGTAAAAGTAGCACTGAGTACGGATAACAAGTAAACTGGTTGTGGAAATTGCCACGACCGTGCGCACAAAGACAACAATCTAATAACCAGTCTCATTTATCCCCAAGGGAGGGGAAGGGTAAGAGGAATTTTGGAGGATCATATGGTTTTCAGGGTGAGGGGGATCAGCCGTCCTAAACAGGGTATAAAGGGGTAAGTATGGAAAATTGGTTACCAATTAAAAACCAGAGTAAGGATTCAAACGATTGGCGTTTCATTTCTCGAGGGTAACTCTGTTTTTTTTCCACTCCAACGGCTATAACAATACTAATAACATCTTCACTTCTTTCACTTTCAATATTTCAGGGCGCTGCTCCTTAAAGACAATGAGCTGGTTAAAAAGGGAGATGTTATTAAGAACGTAGAGTACGCAAGGACTCTAGAAAGAGTGCGTGACGATCCTGACTCCTTTTACAGTGGAACGCTCGCTAGGGACATATTGCGTGACATTGGGAAAGTCAATGGGATCGTGACTCAAAGAGATTTAAGGAGTTATACGTCGATTATAAGAGAGCCATACCAGAGTAACATCCAGGACATGACAATGCACCTGACCCCACCCCCCACAAGTGGCGCTGTGCTGGCGCTGATCTTAAACATTTTAAGAGGTAGGAGTTGTTGACAAAACAACTATTTAACTTTCTTATAGAGAAGACTTTCTGCGAGCATATGGAAAGTTCCCCTTCTAAGTGCTTTATGCAATCTTCAGATTATTGACTATATTTATTGCCTTTTGAATGAATTGAAAACACGCCATTAACTAGCAAGTGCCTCAAGGCTGTCAGAAACGAGGAAGTGCGACCTTAGCTTTACTGGATTTCAATTAGAATCAAATAGAGACAGGTAAATTAAAAAGTAGTTTTGGTTGACCCATCAACTTACAACAACTTGTTTTCATGTCAAACTAAATTGAATGATATTTTACTCGAAAGATTCGTAAAAATCAGCCTCCTTTTGTGGAATACTTCTATCGTAGGGTACGACATGACATCATCAGATCGCGATGACAAGAACACCAAAGGGCTTACTTATCATCGAATCATTGAATCCTTTAAGTTCAGTTATGCGAGGCGCGGTCAGCTTGGAGACCCTGAGTTTGACTCCAGAATAAATGAGGTAGGTGACATGTTACAGTTGGTACAGAAGCGCCATTTTTATTATTTTTTTGCCTAACTGGTTGTTTGAAAACGCTTGTCAAACTATAACCAAAGTATTACATGATAAGTGACAAGCCTTTTCCAGTTGGAGATGGAATGGTGCAAAAACACATTGCTGAAGAACCAACCTGCCCTTTGGACATCCATAGCAAAGCTACTTTCATTCTACTTCCCTTGCTTTGTCAATAACAACCAGCCAATGACCAGGAGTTTGGTTGTGTGACGATTTACCTGATCCCCCATAATGCACTGTAATGTTCTTATGATCTTCCCTTGATGCAGTTAATTGACAGTCAATATAACCCCCCCCTTTATACACTGCTAGCTACGACTGACCCCCACCCTCCACTCCCCCAGAAAAGAGTCTGAAAACCATGTGATCCCTCCCAAATTCGATTCATTAAGAGTCTTCTTCTTGATTCTACTTTGCATATCATTAACAATCACAAGTTTTTTCGATGCGATTTTCGATCCACCCTAGGACTGATTCATAGCAAACGGAACATTGACCCTACATCAAAAACTGAATCAAACATTCCTTCATTTCCATGCCATTCATTTCCCTTATGAATCAAACATTAAGTTCATGAGGATAAGGGAAATGATCACCGACTAAAAAGGAATTTTTATTCTTAAATAAATTCTCCCTGTCAGCACTTTAGGAATTGTATAGAGAACAGTATAGAGAATATGCATACTGATGTTAGGATGTGGAGGGTTCAAGGATCAGGTAATACGTTGTAGTTTTACTTTTATCTTCAAAGAGAGCGGAAATGATGTTAGATCCAGAACTAGGTGATGACCTTCGTAAAAAAATACGGAACAAGACAAACAAGAATGGAGCGTATTACGACGCGGATTCATTTTCGAACGCTGATTACGGTACGACACACGTGGCTGTAATGGACCAATATGGAAACGCAGTTTCTGTGACATCCACTATCAACATGAAGTGAGTTAGTTCAGTTGGAATTACGGGTTACACCAGTGGACCTTGAGTTCACCATAACTAAGGGCCCGGAAAGGGTAGCTTCTCATGGTTCTTGCTTTGACGACAAGAACCACAGAAAGCAGTCGCACTCGCAGGTTTAGAAGATAGTTAGAATATGATTATCGCTTTCCACACTTTACAACTTTGACGCTTGACTTTTTTGTTACCATAGAATAGAGGTAAGAAAAATTAAGAAGAGCCTCTTGCAGTTGTTAAAAAAAGATGACAACTTGCATGGTAGCTAATGAGAAAGAAACCAAATTTTGAATGCTTGAAGAAGGAGAGGTAGATCTGTAATACCAAACTTGAGCTCTGTTTGAAACTCTTCAAGAGATATGGCGTCAAAAATATCTTCAATCCTTCCTCAATGCTTGTGCGGATGCTTTCTCCTCTTTGTAACGATTTCACAAACAGCCAATAATTCTTCTTTGTCATTCTCTTCATCTCCAAGAAGGTAAACGGGTGCTTCTAGGATAGCTTTTTTCGCTTAACATAGCAAAAACATTCGAACTCGGACTCGTGACTTTGTTTACAATCCAAGTTGCAATTTCCGTCAGCACGATTACGAGAACGAGACACTAGTACCAATTCTCGGACGGTCAAAACACGTTCTCGTATTCGTCATCGTTCCCTTATTTCGAGCTCTCTAAAAATCATGTCATGGCTCAGCTGGAAAGAGAAAGTCGTTCACACGAGGAGAACTTCAGAAATCCACTTCCCAGTTAGTAACCGGAATTTGTTATCCAGCTGCAAATAAAGTGCGAATTAAGTACAAATATCACCGATATTTGGACAGCTGGTTATTTTGTATAGTAGAAAAAATCGTCGTTTCTATTTTATCTTGCTTAGCGGGATCAACGAAATAGCACAACATGTAAAAATGCTCAGTGATACTACAAACCAAAATGTCTGATGAGATATACATTTTTTTTTGTCAGTTGGAGCTTAAGACTTACAAAAGCGGTTTTGTAAAATTTTCACTTCATTGTCCTGCGCTTCTCTGACAGTAATGAAGTTGCTTTGTTTTGTTTTTCCAACAGGTTTGGCGCTAAATATCGATCCAATAAAACAGGCATCATTTACAACAATGAGATGGCCGATTTTGATAATCCTGACGACGACCCAGTGGATGATATTTTTCCTTCACCATTCAATTTTCCTGAGCCAGGCAAGCGACCGTTCTCTTCCATGTGTCCCACCATTTTAACCGATGACGACGGAAAAGTTCAGCTTGTCATCGGTGCCTCCGGCGGGAAAATGATAACCACAGCAGTGTCACTGGTACGTCCAGTCCTTTTTTTCTACGCTACTTGAATCTTTCGATTTGATTAGTATGGGTACTCCGCCCAAATTTATCCACAGTGAGAAGAGATTAAGATAGCAGAGAAACAAAAGGACACGCACCCTACATATCTTTATTATGCATCAGGATATTCAGTTGTAAAGTTGCTCTATTGATGTGGATTTTCCAGCCAAAGAAATGGAGGCGGCCTGGAACAGTAAATCGGTTTATGTCTGTATGTGCATGATTATAGGCGTTGACGGTTTCTTTCACACGTAAACGATGCTTACATGGATTTTACCATGAACTGTATCTGTTCAAACAAGTTCACTTCTCCAAATAGCATTTCCTCCTGTTTCCTTTAATAAATCTCGAACCTTCGATGATTTTCGAATCAATGTACAATGCAACAGAATTACAAATACTCCGGAATCACAATCACAAACAAAAATAATTTCGTTAAGTACCGAACGTAAAAGATACAGAGCACTTCGTTATTAAAACTATACTTTTTTCAGGTACCTTGACAGTATAATCTAACAAATTTTCACATCTAAACAATAAATTTAAAACTGAGGGTAAACTTTTTAGTCAGGAGAAACGACGAAGGCACTTATTTGATGAAAAAATGTACTTACAGGTAAAAATTGCCTGACATTTTCAGTTACAAATGCCGACGGATACCATTTCACGCAATCTCATTGAGGATGTTGTTTATATCTGGGCGGAGTAAACTTGGTCATGGTTGTGACGAGATCCTAAAGGCTACAAAAATTTCAGTGCTTTGTTAAAAAATAAAAGGAGTATGGTTTCTGGAATCTTTAACATTACATCACCATGTACTCATTTAATAATTACTTAAATTTGCAAAACAAAGGCTCCCCTTCAAAACGGGGCATTTATTTAAGACATCGCACTCACACGTGAGCTCATGATATGATAAAAATGTTGTCAATAGGACAAATCAGACAAAAACTAATTAAATGAATATACCGATGTTGTTTTGACGTTATTACCCTACTAATATATAGATTTAGCCAAGCCTAAAAGCGGAGCTCGCATTTTTTTTTTCCCACACAACTTGTCCCGGCCTGCACTAAAACCCTGGTCGTCCGATTCGGAGCCCAGTGCACTGACCACTGGACTACTGAACAAAGCCCGCGATACAGTTGACCACGCATGTCAAAAGCAGCACCTTATACGGTCGTACGGTCGTACCATCGTACGGTGGTACATGCAAATTTTTTCGACTTAATGGGTTTCTACTATTTTGTATAATTATGGGGCTACGCTCTTCGAGCTCCGCTATGAAACAG